ATTCAAACCGCCAGCTCAGGTGTATGTGGCTGGTGCCTTAGCCACTGTAAGCCACAGGTGCCAAGTCCCCTCAAATCAGTATTTTTAACAAGATCTCCAGTGGTTCTGCTTTGATGTGGGCGGTTGTGAGCTTCAGCACCTGGAGGATAACATTTAATCAAGCTGGAACCTGACATCCTTGCCCTCTGAACCCAGAATCCCTCTCCTATCTTAGGCCAAGTGCACAGGCACTTTTCCCTAATCACTCTGTTCCCCAGTTAGTCCTTTTCATATTCTCTTTCAGCCCTAATCACATATCCCACCTTCCACAGGATTGAATTCTTCCTGTGGCTATTCTATTTCCTCACTCCTTTTAGTGAGATCTTAATGTTGGGCAGCCCCTTGGAGGTCTTGTAGCACAGGTCTCCTTCCCTCCTTGAGCAGAGAGTATAAAGTTAAGGAGAACCAGGCTGGGGCATGTCCTTGACTAGCTTTCCCTCAACTACAGGGGAAGAGACTCCTGAGAGTGACAGGCTCATCCATGAGCAGGACTTGGCCTGGCTGCAGCAGGCAGATGGTGAGTAGCCTGCCCTCCTACAAGCAAATTCCTCTGAATGTTAGATTCCTTGGATCACTGACCTACACACCTAGAAGGGATGCCAGAGTTCCCTCATCACCACAACTATACTGCCATTGCCTTAGTCTCTGCTTTCTTCCCAGTGGTCGTGGCAGAAGTGACCCAGCCATCCTTGGGTGTAGGCTATGAGCTGGGCCGGGCTGTGGCCCTCAATAAGCAAATCCTGTGTCTGTTTCGCCCGCAGTCTGGTCGAGGTGAGCACCCTAAATCCTAGAAGGCCACCCCTTCCCTCCCCAGCTTTCTGCATAGCCTTGGCTCCTTCATTCTAGGCTCTTTGCAAAGTGCCTATCCCCAAAAGGGCACAAAGAGGGGAGTGACATAGGGGGGGTGTGGAAGGGAGCCAGCTTCATCTTTCCCCTCCTTCCCAGTGCTTTCAGCCATGATCCGGGGAGCAGCAGATGGCTCAAGGTTCCAGGTGTGGAACTACGAAGAAGGGGAGGTGGAGGTCATGCTGGATCGATACTTTGAGACTTATCCTCCTGAGCAAACACCTACCTCCCCTGGCCCAACCACTTGACCTAATCCCACTGAATAAAATTCTTATTTTTCCAATCCCAGATACTTTTCCAGTACCATTCCTGCCTCTTAGTTCAAAAGTAGCAAATTAAAAAGTATGTCTAAAATTCTAACTTTAACTGTAAATGTGGAGGAGGTAGGACAGGTCCTCAGAAACATCCTTTTCCCACCCCACTTCACTTTAAGCTGTAGAGAGACCCTTCAAAAGTCTGTAGGCCAAGATGTGACACCAATACCCTCAACCACCTTCCAACCAGTAGAACATGTCAGGCTGCTTATGGGTGCTGGCTATTCTTCTGTCTCCTCCAAAGCTGGGCTGGGTCTGTACCTGGACCCATACTATGCTAGCCTTCACTTCCCTTTATCAGCTTAGGTCAAATGAGTCTGCTTTGGCCCATCTCTGAGAATAAAACAATCTGGAGGTCTAAAGAAAGCAGTAAAGAATGAGGGGGTAGGGGGTGTATGAGACCAGGGGAGTTGTAGCTGGCTGGCCCCTAATGAAGCTGCCCAGCCTGCTTCCAGAGAAGTATGTGAAAAAAAATTTATTCATTAAACAGAAGAAGAAAGTGCTGCAGACACTGGGATCCCCTCCCCCATGACAGTGGAAGGGGTGGACTCCTACCCCTCAGCCCTGAGTCTCCAGGGCATTGCAGGTGTTTCTGCATCCTGCCCCCTTAGTCATATGCCTCATCATCATCGTCCTCCTCATCACCAAAGAAGAAAGTCTCTCGGTCCAGGTTCTCAGACTCATCATAGGAGAAGCTGTCATTATCCAGTTCTTCATCAAACTCATCCTGCTGCCAGTCCAGCACATCATCCTCATCCTCCTCTTCTTCCTCCTCCTCCTCTTCCACCTCCAGCCCTGAGGGGCCCTGGGGCCTAGGGAGAACCACCAGATTCAGGCCCAGAGGAAGCATGACATCTCCCACTGCCCCTCCAAGGCTCTGCCTACCCTACTTACTGATTGCCAGGCAGGTTGGATCCTTTCACTTCATGCACCTCTACTGATGGACTCTGGAGACCAACCCGGAAATCCTGGCAAGCAGACAGGAAGATGTGGGGAAAAGAGGACATAAGGCCTTTGTGCTTAGCATTCCTTCAGCTGAGCTTTCTGAGAGCCAGGCTCTTACTAGGAATGCCCCCCTTCTCTCACCACAGCGGCTGGCAGACCAACACCTTAGTGTAAGTTAACTCACAGTTTACATAGACACTGGAGATGGGTGAGGCACCACCCTGTGCCTAACGAGTTTACAGTGTGTGTAAATGACCTACCAGTCAGTAAGCAACCTGAAGGCAGGATTCATAGTTTACATTCAGCATCAGTGTACTGAAACTGGTAACAGCCTGGGAGATCCTTTATGCCAGTAAGCTCATCCTCTGGCCCCCCTCCTAGGGTTTTTAAGTTTACATATGGGAATTATAGTCTGGAAAAGTTCTCCAAGTGATTCTGATGGGCACCTGGCTAAATACCCTTGATGTGGGATAACTAACCCCTTGATTTTTAGGAAGCCTCAGAAGGTTGAGTGACAGGATCCAGTGGTATCAAGCAAGCTGGCCCAGGAGCTGGGATGTGTGCCTATGTCTCCAGACATCCATTTGCCCCCCTCCCCTTGCTGCCTTTCCTTCTAGACTCATTCCAGCAAAGGGCTGTCTAGGGCAGAGGACCTTCACCCCCACCCCTGCAGGGCAGAGGTGGTTAGGGCTGGGGGAGGCACCTGGGTGGAATGCTGCAGAATGGCGAGCAGCCTCTCCTGGATGCGCCGAAGCAACTCCATGCCGGTGCTGACACAGTCGGCCCGCAGGAGGCGCAGGGAGGAGGCCAGGTCTCTGCACCGCAGCAGGGTCTCCTCTGCAGAGAGGCAGGCACAGGGCTCCCTCCCTTCTCCCATTCTCATCTATTCCTTCCTTCAACAAACTATAGAACATCTACCACGTGCCAGGCACAGCTTGACCAACTCATTCTCATGAAGCTGCCATTCTAGGGGCAGGATATAGACCAGAATCAAAGAAAAAGGCAGGTAAAATCTGTGCCCTTAGGCACCTTACAGCATAGGCTTTAGACCTTAAAAGCCATATGGTGAGTAGCCTATGAAGAATAAAAAAGAGGAAGAGGACAAAGGGAAGGTGGATCCAGTTTTACTTGTCAGGTTGGAGACAGGATGCTCAGCACAGAGAAGGAAGAGGTGGGCAAGGGCTGGGGTAGGCTTACCAAGGAGGATCTGCAGGGCATTGGTGTGCAGCTCCAGGCTCTCTGTCTGCTGTTCCACCACATCCATGTATTCAGCATCCTGGCTGTAGAAGCTGTACACGCAGGCGTAGGCCAGCACCTAGAGGCACTCCAGTCAGCTCTCCTTGCCACTCCCCACTGCCTTTTCCTCATTCCCTCTATCCAGACAGGTCAGATGAAGGCAGCCAGGCCCACCAGATACCCTTGGCACACCTCTGCCAAGCTACGGCTATAACCAACCTTTCGTGCCTGCTCCAGTCCCCGGCAGGCATCGTTGAGGAAGGTGAAGGATTTGGGCGGGGGTACCTCATGGATGGCAGATACC